GAGAGAGAGAGGAGAGAGAGAGAGGAGAGAGGAGAGAGAGAGAGAGAGAGAGAAGAGAGAGAGAGAGAGAGAGAGAGAGAAGAGAGAGAGAGAGAGAGAGAGAGAGAGAGAGAGAGAGAGAGGAGAGAAGGAGAGAAGAGAAAGAGAGAAGAGTGAGAGAGTGAGTGAGTCTGAGGAACGAGGATTGCCTTCCCACGTCTCCAAGGCTAGGGACACCAGATCCGCTCTTGAAAGCTACAGGACAGTTGACCGGGGGTCAAGGGCATACCTGGATCTTGAGGTCCAAGGTTTTTCGTGTTTGTCATCGTGGATGATTTAAAGAGATTTGACACCCCCACGACGACAAGACGATTGGCTCTTGGTGTAACTGCTTTGGGTGCAGTTACGCAATACCTGCTTTGGGCTAGTGCCTTTAATTACAGCCTTGATGTGCGAGTAATTAAAAGCACGACGCACAGTGGCAGCTGACGGTTTCGCTGCGAAGTGTTCGGCCGAACACATAAGGGCTCACGCCCGTTCGGCAGGGTTCCGACCCCGACCGGCCTTCCCAAATAGAGACTGTTAGCTACCCTGTGTGCTTCACCGTTTTTGATACCATTTCCGACCTTTCATCGTCCAGTTAAATTAGCTCTGCTAGCCTCCCCTCTACCCATCATCCATCACCCTCGCTATGGCGTAACCCTATGGGTCACGTTATCAAATTAGCGTATTCTGGGGAGCCTATCTCTTGCGAGGAGGCTCTCCAGAATATCTTCATTATCACTGAGGTGGCAGTCACACACCTCTTTAAGGTCCATAATGGCTTCAAAGTGACAGTTGCCAAACCCGAACACTGACCCCATTTCTTTCGGCGACGGCCAAAGAAAGTTAAAAGACCACGGCTTCTCACCTGTTCCCTCCCCCGAGATGAAGGCTAAATGTACGATCGTGGCCAAAAAGATCGACAAGACGATCCCCCCACGATCGTGCGAGTCCATCTGCCAGGAGGTTTCCGTCAAGAACGGTGTCACTGTTCTCGACGTCTATAAGCCACCCGAGTCGCGAATCGTCAAGATTCGCGTCTCATCCCCCGAGGAAGCCCAGAAACTTCTCTCTCGGGACTCATGATGTTTAATACATCGGTCCCCACCTACAACCTGGAACCCGAATGCTTTATTCACATCGACCAATGCCTAAACTGCTACCGCTTCCACCACAAAAAACACCAATGCACACACCCCCAGAGATGCTCTCGGTGCGCCGGCGACGGTCATTTCTTCGCCAGGTGCACTGAAAGCATCAAATGCTGCAACTGCGAGGGATCGCATGTCGCAGTTAGTGGATCCTGCCCTAAACGGAAGGAAATACTCAAGGCAAAACGAGCTGAGCTCCGCCAAGACACAAACACTGTACCTTCCTACGCAACAACAGCTGCCACACGACCTGCTCAGACCAGTACACCCAGACGACCCACGACTTCCCCTCGGACAATTCTGCCCACACAACCCCCAACAAGCACTCTCACACCGAACACAAACCCAAAAATCCAAGCCATCTTACACGTAAGTCTCATTGCTGCCAAGTACAACGCAAAAAGATTCGCAAACATTGTCCCTATCATGCTACAGAGAAACGGCTTCCCCAGCATTATTGTCCCTGAGGAAATCTTTGAAGACGAAAACCTTTACATCCCTGAGTACACCACAACAAACACAGAAACCACAGGAAATGAGGTGACAGACACTCACCCAGAGCCTCATTCTTCCTCACAACATCGACACCTCGTTTTGCAACCTCAGCCACAACGAAGACAAAAAGAAACTGCACAAGCACGCCAAACTACAAAAACCACTGATCACAAACGCAAACAAACCACACCACCATCCATGCACACAAAAAAAGACAAGAAGGATCCTCCTGCCCCTGAAGCTCGTCGTCGCAGATTGGATGACACCATTCTCGACGACGATAGTAGCGACTCCGACATCGATGTCGAGAGCGTTCTCGAGGCCGGGCTTGGGCTCTCGGCTGGAGCCATGCTCCCTGCCAGGGGACCCCTGGGACAGCGCGGAAGCATCGGGAATTGGTCCGCCGATTCCCAGGACTTCCGCGTCGGTTCACAGGACTCCCTGCCTGACCTCGAGGAGCCGTCGATCGCGCATCGATCGCGGAGCCGCTACAGGGCTCAGGTAACACCACGCAAGGTACACCCAGGTAGAATGGGTGTACCTTGAGTGGCTAACTGACGACCGACCGAGCCGACGCGAGTTCTTCCACCCCGGTGGAGGACCCCGTGTTGGCTAGGTCGATCTAGACGCGCAATCCCACGCACGAGCTGCATCTAAACAAAACAAAAACTCTCTCCTTCACACACAAACATTTTACTCTCACTAACAACAAACACAACTCCAGCTTGTTCTGATGGAATAAAGCACTCAGACGGTTCCCTGTAGTGGGTCGTGACCGATCTATTACACGTCTGAACTCCGCGAGGAAGCCTCTCGCTTCCTCCTTAACATCCTGTGGGGTGAGTTGGCCTGTAGACAGACCAACAAACTCCGTGCTTGACTCACCACTGGCTGGATGGACTCACCCTCCATCCTTCGTTCCGGCAGGAGATCAGGTTTAGGCCGTGATCTCTTTCTTTGGCATGGGACAGGAAATGCAGTTTTCGGGTTTTGCAGCATCACTTTGAAGCCACCTTCTACTCATTCCTTTCAAATTTTCCCCTTCCCCTATCCACTCGTTTTGTTCAGTTTTTCAGTGTTCAGTTTTGTGTTCTCTTTTTCTGTCTGTTAGTTTTGTTGTTGTTGGTTTTTGTTGTCCTGTACCTTTTTAATCTCACAAATAAAGTAATCTCCCCCAGGTACTGCCCTCTCTTATCCCCGTTTTTAAATACCTTCACCTCGTCTCCTGACGCTTGTGACACCACCTCACCCCTCACCCCTCACCCTCACTCATACCATATCCCTGCCATAGCGTTGACCCTCATCCTTATCCTTACCCTGACATCCCACTGGTTTCGGTTTCCGACACGTGGCGCTTGCTGCTAGTACTCGTGCCAGGACCACAAATCCTTTAGCGTAAGGGTTTGTGCGAGCCGAGGAAAGAAGCGTCACGGCCAGTGGAGTTAACCAAATCGTGGTGAGGCCGCCCGAGCCGCGCCCCTCCGGAAGACCTGCGGCCGAGGGAGAGAAATCTCCTCTCGACCCGGGCGGGAGTGGCCAGCCTCTGTGTGGCCTCACTCGAGCTTCATCCTGCTTCAGCGGTGATGGTTAGCCGAGGGACAGCTCTGGAGCCACGGTCGAGAGGCCGTGGCTCCGAGCATACCGCAGATGGCGCCAAAAACCTGCTAACTTCTCTCCCCTCCCCCTCAGTTAGCCGAGAGGCTCCGTGGACGCAATAGCGGGGCTCCGCGCCCCGTGGGAAAATTGTGGCGAGGCGAGCCGCGCTCAAGGTCGTGGGGTATTCCCCGCGCCACGAGTCGCGACCTTGCCTCGCCACACGATCCCGCGGGGTGCGGCCGCGCGGTGAACACGCGAGTCTGCCGATGGCGCTGAGCCCCTCGATCCTTTTCCTCTTTCAACAAACCCACTCCACTATTACCCCAGTTTACCCCGCAGGCTGGGTGAAGCCCCGGCTCCTTCTTCTCCTCCTGAAATTCTTTTCCTCCTCCTTATCCTTCTCCTATCCCCACTCTTCCTTCCCCCCCTTCTTCTTTCCATTTTAGTTTAGTTACCGGGGGTCTCGGCGCTGACCAGACCTCCCTTGGGGTCGCTCTCCCCATGCGCGTTACCGCTCGGCGCGCCCTTGGGCTCCCCTTTGCCCACGAGACAGCCCACGCCACGCTACCTTCCATCTCAACAAATAAAGAAAGAAACTAGAATTGTCTCTCCATGATCCACCAAAGTTAGGCAAAAACAAAACCCTGACAGAGAGAAAGAAGGAACAAAAAAATGAAGAGAGAGAAAGGAATAACAAAAAAGGAGAAAGCAAGAGAAAATGGAGAGGAGAGAGATAGATGGTGAAAAGGAGAGAACTGAGACTGGCACAGACAGATATATAAAAAAACGAAAAATCAACGTTTTTTATTTCATTTATTCTTTTTTACTCTTTTTCTGGGCCCCACTTTTGAAACTACAAATATGAAATAGTAGGCAGTATATTCCATTCCAAGTTATTTGGAAAGTGTCACCAGCTGGGGTTTTAGCTCTTAATATATATAAAACATTCACTTATCTATCAAGCCTTGGTTAATAATACAAAGCACCAGTGCAAATTATTTTTATTATTATTTTTGCAATAATAATTATTCCTTAAAACATTTCCTGTCTCACTAAGCTGATCAAAGGATCAAGAGTATCACAAGGATTAACACACACGTACAAGTGCCCTTCTCTATCTGTGCGTTCCTCCCCTTCCTGCTCCCATACTTCAGTTCCTTTCCCTATTATATATCCCACCCTCTTTTCTTTGTTTCTTTCCTGTGTGTCCACCCATCAACTCCCTCCCTGACCCAAGGAACCTTGCAGCTATTTAGATATTATCTTATTTACTCATTACTCCTCATTTTTTCTTGTCTTCATAGATCTTTTTTCTTTAATCTAATAAACTGATAAAATTTCTATGCTTTAGTATAGAAAATTTCACAAATTAATGCCCTTAATAGGGGATGAAATTTACAATGCATAAATATAACAATGTTATACACAAAAGAACCCTATCCATTCATGAAAAACACAGAATCTTGGGAAAAGAGCTAGATGGACTGACTTGAAAGTCAAGACAGTTACCACAGATCGGGGAATGGAAGGTACTGCCTTCAGATGAGGAACACACAGTAAAATAAAGATAGGCACACTCACGAGGGCGGCATGACAAGCCAAGATCTGCTGCTGGGGTGGGAGTCAGCCTGGGCTGCCCTAACTCTCAATACTACACAACCATTGCTACCACAGCTACAGAATACATAACGTCATATCCCAGACCGCCATCCCACACCACCACCCACTTCTAGAACTCTGCACACATTCCATACATATCACGAGGAAGTCAGAAAACAAGTAAAATGCTTGTCATCTGCCAATTTTTCAGCAATAATGACAATGCTACTGATTCACTCAATTCAAAAAGCCACGAAGCTTTTCTCCATTAAATCAAGTAGCTATGACAGAGGCTAGGAAGGCATGAAGATAGTGTTGCAATCATTTTGTCAACACCAAATCAAAAGAATCCTTTTACAGTTCTAACCAAGGGGAGTGTAATGAACTAGATTAAACACAATACAGGTTATCATAGGAACACAAGTTTCTAGAAAAGGCATAAACATCTGGGCTACAGGTAGTTTATCACTATCTTGAAGGAGGGCATAATACAGCAGCTAACTTTACTTCCTATAACTGCTTACTAAAATTTGGTACCCAAAATTCATTGATAACCTAATATTTGGGAAGGTCAATCCTGAGTGGCAAAGCTTAGCAAAGTGAAGCATTAGATGGCGAGCGCAGGTGTGCCACCAATGGGCCTGGCCTAACACTGGTACTCAAAAAGGCCACCAAGCAGGTATGTTACTCTGTGTCTGGCTCATCATGACACCCTTACATAGTCACCATAAAGATGTATCACCATGAGCCTGATTTACAGAGGTACTCTACAAGGCCATCAAGTAGTTGAGCCTCTGTGGGCCTTCCCGTACACTGGTACTCTACAAGTCCACCAAGTAGATGTGCCTGGTATTTTACGCAGCCATCAATTATTATAGTCACACAGTCCCAAAAATGCCTCACCTATCATGATCAGCAACATTAGGTTTTTAATAAGCATACATTGCTCTGGGAAGCTGTAAAAGACAGATTCATAATGTATGATATGGTAGCTGTCTTTGTATCGCAAGATGCAAGTGAGCTGTGGGAAGCCCAGGGCACCTTCTACCATGTTACTGGTTGAGGCAGGTTGCTCCAAGGCGGTTAACTGGAGCATGTAGTGGGTTCCTCATATGCTGAGGTATGGATAGCTGGGTGGGTTCTTCACAGGTGGAGGCAGTGACCACTGGGTTGGTTGCTTCCAAGGAGACATACATGCAGAGGGTGGATTTCTCATTATGAGAAGTGGATCCTATGCGGATACCTCCTTTGCAAAAGTACTGACTGCTAGATGGGCTCCTCTCTCATTGAGGTATTATCCCATGCTGGATTCCTGCCTTGTGGATTACAGACCTCTGGGTTGACTCTTCTTATACCACTAGGATCACCACATAACAACTTTTCATTATATACATCTCAATCAAACATATTTAGGAATATACCTGTCATCACTGATAATATTTCACTAGGCAAACAACATCAGCATATACAGTATTCTAGACTCTGCATATCACTCTATAAATCCTTGCCTGCAAGATCTAGCTTGATTAGAAGTAATCTGAAGCTAACAAACAAGGTAGAAATAAATAATCATAAAGTACATAACTCACTTGGACAAATAAATTCCCTGCAACAGCCTGGTGTAGTAACAGTTTTGATGAGGTTAAAAACATTATACTGTTGTAAAAATAAGGGCTGGGGATTGTACAGGATGATGTAGATACTGTCAGGGTATGAAAAAGCTGAAACAGACTCTGTACTGTTGAGCTGTAAAGACTGGGTAATGTACCACAAGGGTTGTCTGGATAAAAGATAAGGGTGCAACAGTCAGATATTATTTGGGTGTAACAATGCTGTGTCTCTAGGATACCTCCTTGCTCCTTACATTTGTCCATTATTGTCACATTCAAAATAATGCATATCTGATTCCTATAATTTTGAAATGGTACATCATTTCATTACATTATATCTTATACAGAAAAATTATATAAACTAGATAGATGAACAAAACCTCATTACATTATACAGTTAGTACTGTACTATGATATCAAACATATGTCAGTTAGAAAGGGCAGGAATCTCTCCTCTGCAACACCTCATTGGTAAAATGAATACCCAGGCAGCCATGCTCATGTCCCTACCATATCAGTAGGGACATACTTCTGCGTATCCATTAATGGTAATTCATGGGATATCATAAGGACACCAAGGAAGCTTTACTGTAAGCACTGCTGGCCTGGGAATTCCAATGTGGTGTTGCAAACATTATCTTCAATCTATTATCTTTGCCTATCTATTTGGGGGAAGATATTGAAGTGTTATTTAGAATATGTATCATCTACAACTGCTGAAGCTAACCAGTATGTCTTATACTTCACATGGTTGAGGTAATTCTTAGCAAGTTGCTTTGTGAACCAACCAAATTTGCTTTATTATTCCCTCTTATGCTTCATAATTAAGTACATGTTCAATACAGAAAGGTACAGCAAACCTTTCAAAATACCAATTTTTTTTTTTCATAACAGAAGGGAATACTGAATGTGCATATTAATCAAAGAATGTTAATGCGTACTGGTAACTAATAAACATAAATGCTTATGTGCTCTCAAAATGAAGAAAGTAAAAATTAACAATAAAAGGGAGAAAAAAGAAAAAGAAC